GTGCCAGACTAGGCAGCCTCTGGTAACATGGGGTGGAGTATTGTCATCTAGGCACTCTAATAGCTTCCTGGATTGCCTGCAGCCAGCTGTGTTGCTTTTTCAACAGATGTCGGGGTGGTTAAAATCCCCCAGCAGGATGAGAGCCTGTGATCGCGATGCCTCCTCAAGCTGGAGTAAGAAGGCATCATTGACAGGCTCCGCCTGGTCAGGTGGCCTGTAGTAGACTCCTACCACAAGGCTCCCTTTGTTGTCCCAGTCCCTAATTCCTACCTGGTCATGGCTATTCTTTAGCAACAACTCTTCACATTCTAGCCACATCTTTACATAGAGGGCAACACCTCCACCCCTTCTTCCTCTTTTGTGTCTTTTGAACAGCTTGTAGCCATCGACGGCCACACTCCAGTCACAGGCGTCGTCCCACCAAGTTTCTGGTAACCAGATGCAGGTGGGAAGCAATGAGGTTGACACCAGAAGTTTAAAAGCACTCAAAAGGGACCTCAAGACACTGGGAAAACTAGCCGAGGGATCAGGGGCATTCTCCTCATCCTTTGTCACTATGTTACCTCCCATATCCAATAGAGAATGGAGGCTGTCCCGAGTCCTCCTCTTGCTATTAATATATTTACAGAAAAATTTTTTAATTGTTTTTAACATCCAGTGGATGTTAAACATCCAGCGGATATACATTGTCATGTCCATTCTGCCTGAGTACATGATGGGACAGCAGCATCTATCAGAAAAGCTGAAAGGCTTCTAAATCAGGTGATTTAGAAGATTGTGGTGAGATTACTTCTTTCTGGTCAGGTGAAAGACCACAAGAAGACTAATGGGCTGGATTTCCTGCTTGAAGGGCATTTTCTGAAATGATAGAGCTTTCCTTGGTAGTGGGAAAAAGCAGGAGAGAGAAAGAAAGTGTCACAATGTGCCATTTGGAAGGTGGAAGCCGGGTATCAGGAGGAAGAAATATCACTTGAAGGGCAGTGCTGTGGTGCAAAAGGTCACCCAGAGGGAGGATGAGGCCATGACTTTGTGTTTCACAGGACAGCCAGTGGGGGTGGAGACACATCAGTGGATGCACAAAAACGCTGAGGGGAGAGCACAGTGGGGAAGTGAGATGGGTGTCTACAGCCTGCAGGGAAAGAGGGGCAGATGCAGGACAGTGTAGAACAACCCCTGGTGGAAATGGCAAAGGGCTGTGGTGAGGCTGGAAGTCACCAATAGAACCCAAATCTTTTTCCCTTTGGCTATGGCAGTTGTCTTTGCCACTGAGGCCTATGAGAAGACATGCTGTCCTCATGGCACTGGGACCTCGTTGCCTCCTTGAAAGCCCATGGGGAAGCTGGAGGTTCCTGTACCGTTGCTGTTCTTCACTTGGTCTTGCACCCCCCACATCCCACAGCTCCAGGAAGAGCCCTGACCTGTGCATGAGGGACCAGGTCCACCTTCCAGCTCAGACCAGGCCCTCCCCAGCTCTACCACAGTCTCTGCTTTCTCTTCAGCTCAGCACAAAAGAGCAGCCTGATCGCAGTGCCCACCCCAGGGTGCTGCAGAGCTCTGGGTGCTCACCCCAAAGCCCTTCAGAAGGGCACAGCAGCTTCTGGTAGGCAGAGACAAGGTCTTCGGCTCCTCCACAGCCCCAGGGCTGCAGGCTGGACATGACACAAGGAAAGGGAGATTAGTGAAAATCCAGGACTCTTGATATCACCTCCAGGAGGTGCCCACCACAGATGGCCTGCCGTCAGTGCCAGCCCCTCTCCTCGGGCCAGCACAAGAATCCTGGTCTGTGGACAGAGCAGCCTTCCCCGAGTGGGTGGCTGCAGAAAGAACTTTTTCCTTCTCATGGATCCCTTCCTGCAGTCACAGAAATGCTCATTTGGTCTTCTCCAGGGGCATCCATTTCCACTAGTGAGCATGATCGGCCAGTCCTAGTTATGAGCCCATGCTTCCTGCAGGGTCCTGAGCTAGCGGTGCAGAGGGAGGGGCTGTGGTGCACTGGAGCAATAGGGTGACCCTACATTGTCCACGTTAGTTGAGGTGGGAAGCAGACCCAGCTGGATGGGAATCTCTTCTGCTGAACCCTCTTCAATACTCCTTCAATTCTCAGTAGCCAAGGACAGGGCTGGGAAGGACAATGGGGTGTCTCCAATGGCACAAAAGGCAGAGGAGGGCTGCACTAAATCCACCCCACAGCGTTTCAGAAAGGATAGGCTAAAGCATTATGTAGTCTTCTGTCCCTTTGCCTGCTGGCTCCTTACAGCCCCTCTTGGCATTGTAGGGTCCTCATTTGCCTGTGGACCCCTCAGGGTCACAACTTCTTCAAAGAGACTCCACCTTGGAGGGTCACTCATTTGATGACGTGGCACTTACTGCCCACCCAGACTCACACACTCTCCCTGGAGATCCCCTGAGTTCTCCTGGCAGCTCCCAATTTCTTTCCAGGAGGGCATCTGCCATCAGCCCCCCTGCAGGTGGGGCAGCACCAGGCAGATAGGCCATTTGCTGTCTAAGTGGACATGTGCAACCAAGAAGAGAGGTCCTCATCAAGCACTTGGTCCCTAGCTTATTCTCCTGGGACTCTGAGCTTTTCCCCTGAATCCATAAAAAAAAAAAAAAAAAAAAAAAATGTCCTTGTAAAGGATCAGTTCCTTGGGTGTGTTCCTGGCATCAGTTTTGGAAGAGGATCCAGCCTCTGGCCCTGCCTTGAGAAGTCCCTTTAGTGACAGTGGAGACCAGCTCTGACATAGTGGTTCACATGGCCTGCTCCTGCCCACAGCCACAGAGATGCCACTGAAGAGACAACAGGACTGTCACAAGTTACACGAGACCTTAGGGGTAACTCAAAGGCAAGGGCACAGCAGGACAGTGTGGATGTGAGGAAAGACCAGCACTGGAAAGGCTGCATCCTGCCACTGTCCTAGGCCATGGCTCCAGGAAAACAGCAATCCCAACTCACAGCCGGCAGAGACAGAGCGCCCAGTGAGGCAGCCAGGGGCACCTCAAGGGCCCCGGGCTGATCCTCCAAGAGGCAGCTGGGCATTGGCTTCCTGAACCCCTCCTCTATGATGGGGCTGGTCGCCCAGATCCAGAGGAGATGTGCAGAGATGGGAGCTGAGACAAATGAACAAATGATTTTCTGCCGGCTTCTTTAATGAGTTGATCTAAACCAGGAGAATGAGGTCTTTGGGTCAAGAAAAGAAGCTAGAGAGTTAAGGAAAGAGGCTAGAATTATATACCACATGTATAAAAAAAAAAAAAAAAAAAAAAATAATACCCCCCACAAAAGAAATATATACACACATGAGGAAAAGTCAATCCTGCCTTTTCCTGATATACAGTGGAAGCCCAAGTATTGGGCCACCTTATTTAGTTGAAATAGATCCTATTTCAATAGTTTCCAGAGGGCATGCTTGATTTCCTGGTTCCTCATGCTGTAGATGAGGGGATTCACAGCTGGAGGAATAACCGAGTACAGAACTGCCACCACAAGATCCAGGAATGAAGAGGACATGGAGGGAAGCTTCAGGTGAGCAAACATGCCAGTGCTGATAAACAGGGAGACCACGGCCAGGTGAGGGAGGCACGTGGAAAAGGCTTTGTGCTGTCCCTGCTCCGAGGGGATCCTCAGCACGGCCCTGAAGATCTCCACATAGGAGAAAAGAATGAAAAGAAAACAAACAAAAGTTAAAAAGCAACCAAATATAAGAAGGTCAACTTCCCTGAGGAATGAGTCTGAGCAGGAGAGCTTGAGGATCTGGGGAAGTTCACAGAAGAACTGGTCCAGAACATTGCCCTGGCAGAGAGATACTGAAAATGTATTGGCCGTGTGCAGGAGAGCAGTGAGAAACCCAGTGCCCCAGGCAGCTGCTGCCATGTGGACACAAGCTCTGCTGCCCAGGAGGGTCCCGTAGTGCAGGGGTTTGCAGATGGCAACGTAGTGGTCATAGGACATGATGGTGAGAAGATAAAGTTCTGCTGAGATCAAAAAGACAAGTATAAAGACCTGTGTAGCACATCCCCAGGAGGAGATGGCCCTTGTGTTCCAGAGGGAATTGGCCATGGCTTTGGGGACAGTGGTGGAGATGGAGCCCAGGTCAGTGACAGAGAGGTTGAGGAGGAAGAAGTACATGGGGGTGTGGAGGCGGTGGTCACAGGCGATGGCAGTGATGATGAGGCCGTTGCCCAGGAGGGCAGCCAGGTAGATGCCCAGGAAGAGCCAGAAGTGCAAGAGCTGCAGCTCCCGTGTGTCTGCGAATGCCAGGAGGAGGAACACGGTGATGAAGCTGCTGTTGGACATTTGTTCCCTCTGGACATGGGGGACTACTGAAAGAGGGAAGACATTGACTAGTTAGGGCAGACTTCTTTGACTCAATCCTAGGCTATTTCCCAAAAAATCCTCTCAAGGTTATTTCTCTTTCTTTGGGGGAACTTCATTCATTTCATTTTGTGACCTCAGGTGTTTGCTGCTGAGTGAGGACACTGTCTTTGAAAGGGCAGAAATCCCCATCTTTCACATCAGAGTCAAAGAAGGGTTTGGGTTGGAAGGAACCTTAAAGATCACCCAGTTCCAACCCCCCATTGCCCTCAGCCTGACCACTGGTGAGCCCTGAGGGACAAAAGGCTCCCTGTGCCCTAAATGCAGGGTCAGGAGAGCCGCTGTGCCCATGATTTACCTTCTGGTCACCACACAGGTGCCCTGTGCTTACACATCGCTCTGTTAGAGGATGTTCTCCCTTGAAAGACGCTTGAAGAGGAAATGGATTTTTGTGAGCATGGAAGAGCCCAGTTTCAAAGTCCATTTCTCCAACCTCTCCTCTCTTTCCCCGTGCAGCTGAGCAGAGGGGGATGCAGAGGGTGGCCTGGCTCTCTGCTGCCTGGGGCTGTCCCTGCTGGGAGCTCTTTCTCTGTCTCCAAGTCTCCTCCCTGTCGGTGCTCACAGATCCCATCCCACCCTCTCTGAGCTCAGCTCTGCCCTGCAGACCCCTCCTGGCAGCAGGACACTGCCCAGAGGCATCTCCCAGGTTGCAGGTCCTCAGGAGGAGGTCAGGGAAGGGCTGGCACTTCAGGCAAAGGTGATGCTGGTGCTGTCTGTAGGTCGAGGAGTGGGTGAAGGTGCTTACGAGGCTTCTGGCAGAGCTGCTGATCCCTCCGTGTAATGGTTCAGGACTCTCAGTCAGCTAATTAACCTCCACAGCCCCCTTCCCCTTTCTCTTAGAAACAAGCTGAGCCTGGAAAGATCTTCATCTTTAAGGTAGCCCCCACCTTGATATTCCTCTTGAAATGCTGCCTCTGCCAGTGTCCTGGCTGTGACCTGGAGCTGTGAGCAGCCCTGACCCACGCGGCAATTTCTTG